TCGTCCAGCATTGAACATTGCACGTTCTTCACTCACCATCCACTGCTCGTGGGCATCGAGGGTCTTCCCAGGGTTCTTTTCCAAGTAGGCACGAACCTTAAAAAAGGAAATTCAACTAAAACAGAATACCCAGGATGTCCAAGATTACAAAACATATACTGATGTAAAGTCTCCTGAACAAGACAAAATGCTGAATTGTTGCAAGCAACGAAGTTCCAGCGAGCTTGGTGCATCCGAGACTGAGACTTGACTGTGTCCTTTGAAGATCCCGAGCCCGAGGTGTTTGTGTCTTTTGCACATGCACCATCATCATCATGGGACAGTTTGATCTTCTTGTCACCCTTGAGCTCAAGTGTTGGCTTGGTTGAAAACAGATTACTGATGTTTAAAACATAGAAATAAACCTCCACAAGAACTGAGGCTTTCTCATGAAAAACACAGGACAGCATTCCATGTGCAACCACAGAAACCTCAGAGCGATGCCAAGCCCTGGAAGTCTCCCTCTTCCGCTCTACCCGCTCTTCCAAGATCTTGGATCGTGTGTTGGGAGTTGTTTCTGCTGTGATGCGCTGAGAACTCCACTTGCTTGCCTGTGGTGAAGTAGCTGCTGTAGCCTCACCGGTGTGAGTCTGCTAGTGATCAACAAACAGCCCAATGAGTTTTCATAATTCTTGTGAACCCCCTTCCCAAACACATTCAACCCTGTCCTCTGTCTCATCATCTTTGAAGATACAGCTAGTCTTATGTTGCAAACGGCGCCTCCGTTGGGGTGCCTGCAGGGACAAAAACGCAAGTATATATACTGAAGCCTTTTTTAGAAAAACAACCCATGCCTTGTCAGTGGCAGAGGGAGAGCCCTCAGGTTTCTCAGCATCAGGTTTCACCTCATCTCCCGTGTGACCAGAAGCTGCCTCATTGTCCACATTTGTATCACGTGCCACCTCATCGACTTTCACCTCCTTTGCCTTGTCATCAGAGACCACCCCATTGTCCATTGGCATGACAGGCGTCGCATTGTTGGCCAAGGTGGTCTGTACCTAAGGCATGTTGAACTTGATCTCTGTCAAATCATGGTCCTTACTTCAACGAACAAAAAATAGAGTCTAATTAGCATTCAAAGCTACATGAGGTGGTGAAATGGTAACAGGCTTGGCTGGTGGTGTGTCAAAAATACAAGATGCTGTCCGACGAGTGTTTGGTCGAACTTCATTGGTCTCCTGTTGAGAAGGAGTATCCTCTTCATGCATGTAGTAGGGGTCCTGGGGATCAACCACCTGGCTATCGTTGATCATCATCTCCATGAAGTCACGGTTATCGCTCATCATATCCAAGAAGTCAGCCTCACAACGATTGAAGAATTGATACGGCTGCTTGGGCTCTACCTTCTCCTCATCATTGAACAACGAACGGGCTGTAGGATCCATATTCAATGGTCTCGCCACACTCTCCACAGGCATAGCCATAGTTGCCTTGAACGTTTTCTCTTGTGCACATGCAAGAACAACAAATACATGAACCATGAAACAACATAACTTATCAGCTTTTGAAAAGCCCACAAACCAAAATGAGCTGCATTGTCCTTCTTGTGGTTTGTGGTCATGAACTTCTTCACATTGTCACTGAACTGGAACTCAAAACCGGTCAAGTTGTTTGGCTTTGATGCGATGCTTGGAACGGCGACCTTGTTTCCAACCACACCAGAAGTAGCACCATCACACGGCGGCATGTTCATCCCTTTCATGGTAGAACTGAAGGATGCGCCTGCAGAAGCTAAATGCTTTTGAAGCAAATGCTGGTTGGTAGATGCCGCTGCGACATCTGCCTCTAAATTGATGACTGGGACCCCTGCCATTGCAGCAAGAAGGAACGAGCGTACAAACCGACGTGCTTGAATGGCTTCAAAGTGTTTGTATAATCCAACTGATCAATACTTACATACACATGTTCCACATGCCACACTTTCGATTCAACACATTTCAACCCTAAAGACTTTTCCCTTTCAACCGCAGACGTGCGTGTTGGAAGATGTTCTCAAGGGCAAAATCTAGCCGGATCATGCGATCTGGTACTGCATAGAAGGCTGCAACACGATGTCGCCCTTTGCAAACCACAGTGGCTTGGCCGGACCTACTACTTTCTCACGTGGATAGTGTCGCAGTCCTGGGATCTAGAGTGTAGAGGTTGGAATGGCTTGCCCAATGATTCCAACTGTAAATGTGGCAAAAGACAATTGAAAAGAGTTGACAATGTCATATCCAAGAATCGCCACACAAGTGTCAAGTACTCAGAGGCGGCAAGCACCTTGTATCCGATGTAGCCCGCGATGTTGGTTCCACGTAGGTTTTTCTGGTTCACAGCATTGGGTTTGAACACAGAGTGTGCTTCATGGGCGACAATGATTCGATCACTCTCCTCGCCACGCTGCACAGCAGGTGGTCTGTTGAAGCCATGTCCTGTCAATTTCAGGTCCATCATGCCCTTCTCAAAACCCACAAACATCTTGTACACTGTGAACGGCCCAATGTCCACCAGGCCCTGAGGGCTTTGCTCCTCGAGGCACACCTGAGATGATGAAACAATATATTAATGTCCCAAGAACACTACTGTCTTCATCAAAGGCACCAGTTCGTCTCCCGAAGACAGACGGAACTCCACAGCTTTGTTTTGGTTGGCCTCTTTCGACAAGAAGTCCTTGGCCTTGCAGGGTTGTCGCATAACCTCCAAGCCTGAAAACTGAGCAGCTCCCTCCCAGCCTTTGAATCTTCAGAAACCCAGCTTCCGCCGGCATAGAGGAACAGCGGCTTGCTGGATGGAGTCTGAACCCCCAACAAACGTGAAGGTGAGTTCATTGTTGCGCTCAGGTACACCTTGTCGTTCACGATGCTGCGTGTGAGATTTTGGGCGCCCACCGACAAAGTCACTGCCTTCACCTCACAATCCTTGTACTGTGCATCAAAGTCCTCTTTACTCAAAGCTGGCGGGGTCAACAATTTCTGCCCATCAACAGCACGTTCTGGAGTGGGCAGATCCTGCCCCAGGTCTTTGTTGGCATCTTGTGGGACAGGCTCAGGAGCTGGAGCTGCTGTTGGGTTGTCGGTAGGAGCAAAGACTGAGTCGAAGTTCTTCAGGCGAACTCGCCAGTCAGGGTCTTGGATCAGAACACAAAAGTTGAACTCAACCAAGCAACAAATACCCTTCAAACCCTTCAGGATGGAAAAAGGTATTGAAACTCTGTTCTGATATCTAACCCAGGTGCTTCGCACTGGATCTCCCAACCACTTGGCCCTGACTTCTTGTGGAATCTCCAGATGGCCATTTCCAACCATGCGGCAAAGCTTCAGCTCAGGCATCCGTGGGACCATCAGGGCACTCTGGTCTGGTTCAGGGCAGAATTTGGGACTGAAGGCCCCCGTGAGCCCAGTCCCTCCTTTCCATTCCTGCAAATTTACCAAATAGTGTGGGCTTCCGGCTTCTGGTGACACTTTGTCACATGTTTGTTTGTTTGTTTGTTTACTAAACAGTCTTTGTGCCGTTTCAAAACTTGACCAACATTTGCACATTCAATGAGTCCTCCAGAAGCTTGTCCTTCACTTGCCCCAATGCAAACTGGAAAAGCAAAGGGTGCGCAGTCTCGCTGTAGCAGGCGAGGTAGGCGTTGCTTTGGAGTTCAGTCATCAGACCGATTGCAACCTGAAGCACTCTCACACACAAGACACAGAGACGACAGAAGATGACAGAAGCAACGTAGCTCACATACACAAGGTGAACAACCAATCAAAAACAATCCATTTAGCCACCACGCTTTCTCGAAGGCCCCCCTCGTACATGGAGTAGTGGTGAATGACGCAGATCTGTCCCTTGACGGTCGAGACTTTGCTCAAGCAAGCAGTCAAAATCGACTTGATGGTTGCTGGCGCCGAAAACCACTGAGCTCCATCTTCTTTGTCCTTTCAAGTGGCAAAGGCCACCAAATAAGTGTTTGGCTGAATCTGCTCACACAAATGAAACCAATAAGAATATGACTTGATAAATTGACCAAGTTTCGGTGAGCGAACGCCCTGTCTCATGGGAGAAAAACGTTCCACTTTCCGGTGTCACGTAATCGCCTTCAGAGGTTTGATAGCCAATTATACATCCAACGTGTTTAAAGTGAAGACTAACAAAAACAAATACAAAAGGATCTATACTTGGTGTTTCAAGTGGCTCAACGCCAAAGGTACTGTAGCCTGGCATGTCAGCTCTGTCCAAAACCTGTTCTTGCAAAAGACATTGTCGTCAGCCAGTTTGGCTTCGGCCCCCCGTGGTGCACGGTAGAGGGTACCCTGTCGGCATCCAAGTGTGCTGGACAGCACCACCATCCATCCAGGAAGTATTGCCGGAAAGGTTCTTAGAGGTGAGGCTAGGTGTTCCAAAATCCACCCACATAATCCAACACCATCACCAGCAATGACAGGGCATAGCACAATGACCATGCCTGAAGGTATGACAGATCGTTAAACATAAGTGAGCATTGCACACATACCATGTGAAATTGAAGACCAAGGAACTGCGCTCTGGTTTCAGATTCAAAGTCCGAAGTGTCCAAGAAGCCATCTCGTTGATTTCAGGCCTCCCCAATCTTCCATACTTGGTGGTGTCAAGGTACCCGATGTGGTGTGTGCACTGAAGCGCAGCTTCAGGAAAGCACTGTGAAGCTTCCTGCACCACTCGTCTCATGAATGTAGACAGCGAGTCCGTGGGCTTGTCTGTGCACAGCATCATGCAACGACGCTCCATACACCGATCTGCAAGCTGGAGCCCAGTCTGAATCTGGTCTCGAAGGTGAAGCACCTTCAACATGAGTCCCTTCACCACACAATACAACTGGTGGGGGCCAAAACGAAATACTTACAAACTAACAGAAAAAGTTGCAAAAGAATGCAAAATCAACCATGGCACTTGCTGAACGTGTTTGTTGGACTCCACCTGGCTGGGGTAACCGGGTAGCTTGAACTTGAAAATATACAGTGGGAACGTTTGTCTCAACCCCGCCTTGTTTACCCTGAGGTTGTAGGCCACAGCTTCTTTGAAGTCAGCAGCGAGTGAAGCACAAACTACTGCGTACTCAGCTGCAGATAGCTGTTCCTCTGTTTGCTTGAAGCAAGAAATATATCAAGCATAAATGCCATGAATGATTCAAACAACCTCATCAAACCTGTTTTGAACCAACACGTAAAACCTTGTCCTGAGCCTCATCCACTTCTGCGGAGTCTGCCATCATAGCACCAGGTACTGAACTGCTTTTGGCTAGTGGCTTGCCAATGTGGTCTCGGAACATCACCAAGCTCTCAACAGTCATGCAAACAGGCTTGGCAATCAACATGGCATCAATGTCTTGTGAATAATCCCTAGGTGGTGAATTCATCTTGTCAAGTCCCAGTCAAAAATGACAGCAACTACCAAAATGATTGGTTCATAAATCTCGCTATAATATACATCCCAATCACCCAGTGAGGAAATTGTCCATCATTCCATCCAACATAGTCTGCGTGATCCGTGGGTCATTCATCTTGGCAATCTCGTTGCATGCCCAAACCGCCACACAGCAATGGTCTACGTTCCGGTTCCAGTTCTCCTCAGACCATCGATGACGTGACCGCATGGAGCGCTTCATTTTGCGACAATTCATGGCCCACCACATGTTGTACTTCTTGATGTGAAGGTGCTGAACTTCTGGTGTTACCTGAAAGGATATGTTCAAGGAACATGTAAACTTGAGATAGAGATTAATCAAAATCAAATATAAACCCATTATACTATACATACAAAAGTTGACGAATCATGAAAGCAAAACCTATACATGCAGCAACCATGTTACCACCAAAATTGCTTGCCACACAGCATTGCACCCCTTTACTGTCTCATTCAGCTGGTGGCGTTTGGCCTTCAGCAGTGCTTCATTGTATCCTCATTTCCCAAATAAACTGAGAAAAGACCCCAGACTCCTCTAGACCCCATCTGGACTCTAGACCTTCCCCACACACAAAAACAAAAACAAAATTGAGAAAAGACTCCACTCTCCTCCCACTTGTTGTGATCAAGGTGTTGCTTGATGAGACTCCGCGAGATCTCATCTAGGCCAATGATGATGGCCCAAATGGCCTGGTGACCATCGGCCGACACCTGCCATTTCTTGATTGCAGCATTTGCACGATACTGATTGTATTTTGTCACAAGCTCTGCAAGGATCTCTGAGTCGTTCATGTCTGAGGAGGTGCGTCGGCGCTCAACTAACAGCTGTTCAAATCGGAGAGCAGTCTTGAGGATATCTTTTCGCTGTCTCTCAGCACCCTGGGTCGACAGTTGCATGTTCTCAAAGCTGACCTTCTCCATATCACGGGTGCAAGAAATCGAGTATGGCAAGCTGAATATTTCTTGAAGGGCAGGGAGAAATGGCAGCACCAGGTCTTGGAAAATGATAAGAAACCAAACTACAATATGTTGAAAACATTTCTTTCACAACCACAGTCCTTTCCAGCAATTGGATCCAAATCGCTCACGACCATCAAAAGGAAGAGGCCAGCAGTCCTTTGATTGGAGTGAGTTCACAATATATGTATATATATATGTGTGTGTTTTCAAGATTGAATCAAACTAATATATATATATACATATTTATGTATATATACAGGAAAAACTTAACTTTCAACATGTGGGAAGCATCAATCGTGTGAACCCCTTCTTGACTCCAAGAAAGGGTTCATCTGGCAAGGTGCCCTCCTTCTTTACATTCTCTGGGTCCAGCGCATACAAATCCAGTGGCTCTCGGTGCAACCTGGAGCCTTGGAAAAGGAAGGAAATCGTAGTGGTGATCCAATCTTCTGTGCTTGGGTTGCCATCTGGTGGTTTTGCCACTTTAATGGCAGAGAGTGGGACCATGGCCATCAGGTGCTGGTCATCAGAGCTGGACAGTTTGCTCACATCCTTTGCTGTGCCATCCATGGTGTACAAGTATGCGTAATTGAATTCAACCCATTTTACACAAAACTAAGTACAAACAAACAAATTGAAAAACCAGTGAACCAAGAAACAGGTGCTGGAGCAATCTCGCATTTCATCCCATGTATCTTCATTGCCTCTTCTAGGAAGGTTTTGCATTCAGCAATCGTCTGACGAGCTGTCGCCTCATCCTCAAACTTCGTCAATAGCAGGTCCACAGGATGAGCCGCTTTAGCATCAGTTCCAGCAAGTGCTGGCTCACAAAAAATAGCTAAATACCCCAACAGGTCCTCTCAGGGCAGGTGATATGAACACATCTATATGTATGTTTGTATGCATGCATGTATAAAAGAATGTCCAAATAAAAGGGCAATTACTTTAATTCCAGCCTTGGCCATCGAAGTATCACCAGGAAGCTTCTTGAGAGCAGCATGCCATTCAGATTTCCTTTTCTTGGCAGCAGGGGTTTCAGCTCCTTCTTTCACCTAACGCCCAAATTGGTGAACCCGTGACTCATAAAGACATTTGATAAACACAGGGACACACACATGTTGCCAAAAAGAAATAAACACACACATCAACAAAGAAAGAACTACATCATTTGGGGAAAACTTGACTTTAGAAAATATATCTTGAGACCGTCAAAGACACTGGTGAAATGTCAGGTTTCTGATCTTCTTCGGTCTTCACCTTGCTCTCACTCTTCGGTTCTTGCTTCTCTTGTTTTTGTAAAGCTAGTTCCACACCAGCTTTGAGCAAGGGAGATTCCATCACCGGCCAAGTGGACAAGTGAAAAACAACAGACTAAATGATTCTGAACATTCATCCCAAAATCGTCGTAGGTCTAGTCTGTTCATCCCAAAATCGTCGTAGGTGTTGTTTTCTGAGCCCAAAATCGTCGTAGGTGCTGTTTTCTGAGCCCAAAGTCGTCGTTGTTCGTCTGCCCACCTACAAGGATTCCACCTACAAGGAGATTTTGGACGCTAAGCTTGATCAAAATCGTCGTCGTTCGGCTCCCGACCTACAAGGACTTTCCTTTAGAAAAAATGTCGTCAAGGATTTTCAGATTTTCAAAAAATCTAAAATCCTTGACCATGATTTTTCTTTATGTAAATCGTCGTAGGTCGGCAGCCGACCTACAAGGACTTTTTGGACGCTAAGCTTGATCAAAATCGCCGTAGGTGGAATCCCCGTACACTTTGGAGACAGGTGATATTTCCACTCTCACGCAGCTTGCATTGTTCTTTTCATAAAGGTCCAAAGCCTTCCTGGGCCCAGCCGGAGGCTCAACCTCAGAGACAGAAACAATGGCAACAACTTTCAGCATTTTTCACCAAATATGGTTGAGCAAAGCAAACAACTGGAAGAACAGCAAAAAGCATCAATCTTCAACAATCAATCTTTTTGCTAAACCACCGCACTGGTAGATTCTGCTTAAAGTATCTTAAAGTTGATATCACCTTCTGCGCCATACTGCTCTCAGCGGTACACTAGGACTCAAGGTCGACAGCATTACAGGGTGTGGTTCTTCTCTTGCCTGAATCACTGCAGCATTGGCAGGGACTTCAGTCGAGTGCCACGGCAAAGGATGCAAAGGGTGTCGGGGGAGTGTTCCCTGTGCCAAACCCCTCAATTATGCAGAGGCCCTTCGGCTGGTTTCGGATCCTCCAAGCAGTTGATCAAATATACTGGCCAATTGCTCCCAGTCTTTCTTGACCCTCCTTGAAATCTCCTTTGTTGGAAGAACACCTTGGCCATGATTGTTCCAAAGCTTTTAACAGACCAATGAGCAAAGAAAGACACACAGGTTTGAAAGAAAAGCACTTCTTGTCAGTATCCATGAACAAAGAAGCAAAAATGGCGGCAGCAGTCTACTGATCCAAGATGCGATCAGTCACAAGAGAAAAGAACTCCTTGCATTCTTCTGTCAGCACTAGCAATGGTGGTTGCCGCAGTGACACGGAGCTGATGTATTCCTTCACCAAGCAGAAAATGTCATGATCATGTGGTGGTCTCCGCCGGCAAGTCCCCTCGTCAAGCTCATAGTTGGCAGGGATTTCTGAGAGGGATTCAACAAACTTTCAGGTTCAGGAACACATGATCTTTTTTGTCCCAATTCTTTGGCCTTTCCGCTTTGCAAAGAAGAAGAAATGATTCGCCACCCTGTCAGTCAAAAGCCCACCTTCCTGACATGTTGCAAACATATAACCCAAGTCCTTTAGTGGATTTTGGTAAAGCAAATAGAAAGTAGGACAAACACACAGAAAACTCTTAGCACATCAGGTTCTAAAAGTGTCAAGCTGAACAGGAGCACGGTCAGCATGCTG